CTCGCGTGGACCTTGTATCCAAAGGATCTGGCTGCTAGAGTAGCTGCTTTGAATACGTTGGTTTCCAAATGTCCTGATTTATGGTCCTAACTGGCTAACCGGCCCCTGGAAAGGATATTCTGGGATGAAAAAGGGGAGGAAACGCAAAGGAAGCAAAAAGATTTTCGGTTAATACTGCAAATCACAACAATGTTCAGAAATTCTGTTGCCTCGAAAACGTGTGAGCATTTGTATTTTTCTTTTCCCTCTCTATTTTAGTGTCTGGACCAGAACTGGCTCTAGATTGACTCCCTTAGCTGTAGTAGGTGTTTGGGACCATGGCAGCGGGAGTAGCAGCTTGGTTACCCTTTGCCAGGGCAGCGGCCATAGGATGGATGCCAGTGGCCACAGGTCCCATGCCAGCCGCTCCGCGGCAGGAGAGGAAGCGAAGCCAGGACTCTCTGATTGTGCTGAACGTGAGTGGCATCCAGTTCCAGACGTGGCTGGACACCTTAGAGCGCTACCCCGACACTCTGTTGGGCAGTTCGGAGCGGGACTTCTTCTACCACCCTGAGACACAGCAGTACTTTTTTGATCGGGACCCTGACATTTTCCGCCACATTCTCAACTTCTACCGTACCGGGAAGCTTCATTATCCCCGCCAGGAGTGCATCTCGGCTTACGATGAGGAGCTGGCCTTCTTTGGCATCATCCCTGAGATCATTGGCGACTGCTGTTACGAGGAGTACAAGGATCGCCGGCGTGAGAATGCTGAGCGCCTGCAGGATGATGCCGATCAGGATCATGCAGCCGAGAGCTCCCTGCCCTCAATGACAGCTCGGCAGAGGATGTGGCGGGCCTTTGAAAACCCACACACCAGTACGCTGGCTCTGGTCTTCTACTATGTCACTGGTTTCTTCATTGCTGTCTCTGTTATTGCCAATGTGGTGGAGACAGTGCCCTGCGGGGTAAGCCCGGGTCGCATCAAAGAGCTGCCCTGTGGAGAGCGCTATGCTGTGGCTTTCTTCTGTCTGGATACTGCCTGTGTCATGATCTTCACAGTCGAATATCTCCTACGTCTGCTGGCGGCCCCTAGTCGCTACAAATTCGTGCGCAGTGTCATGAGCATCATTGATGTGGTCGCCATCATGCCGTATTACATTGGCCTGGTGATGACAGATAATGAGGATGTCAGTGGGGCTTTTGTGACACTACGAGTCTTTCGTGTCTTCAGGATCTTTAAGTTTTCCCGCCACTCACAGGGGCTGCGCATCCTGGGCTATACCCTGAAAAGTTGTGCCTCGGAGTTAGGCTTCCTCCTCTTCTCGCTCACTATGGCCATCATCATCTTTGCCACAGTCATGTACTATGCAGAGAAAGGTTCATCAGCCAGCAAGTTCACCAGCATCCCTGCAGCCTTCTGGTACACCATTGTCACCATGACAACACTGGGGTAAGTGCAGCTGGTGGTTGGTTACGGCCAACATTTCAACAACTGTATTGGCACAAACGGAAAATACTGCGTGTTAAAAAAAATGTTGATAGCAAAAGTGCGAAGGTAAGTTTTCATTGCAGAACTTTATGAATACGACTCATCACTTCTTTCGAAATGTTTCACACCTACAAGTGAGTAAAAGTGTTGCTGAAGTTAAAATAACCCACACCCCAAAACTGCAGATAAACTGAAAAAGCAGACAGCAAAACAAAACAAAGAGATCTTGAAACTGTTTGGGTTCCTTGCAATTTTTGCTAACATTTTACTTGGTTTTGGGTAGTGAAATCGGAATATTTTATGAATATCTGTGAGTTATCAGTGGATTTTTGATGGTGTAATGTGTTTGCTGACAGGACTTGTTACAGTGTTGCTGAAGTAGTGATAATTATAAGGAGAACCCAAGTGCGATCTTTTAATTTCATCATGCTTAAAAGTACGTGGATCTGCCATTTTGTTTGAAGTGACGTATCGATGTAGACTTGGATTTTGATTTTGGTATTACGAAGTGATTTGTTTTCATGAAAATAAAACAGGTGTAGATACATCAATCTTCACAAAAATTATTCCTGATGTTATGTGAGACACCGGATAAGTTTCCTGTGATTTCCATGGACCTGTAACTTGTAAATGACAAGCGTCAAGCTACACTGCCTGGTGACAGACTCTGGAAAATTATCTGAGGAGGTGTGAGGCATATGACAGATCAAGCATATGTCTTGCAACATAATTCTAATGGCACTATACATTCCTCCAGACAATTAGGAGTTAAAAAATGCCATTGTTGACATTAGACTCCAATGCAGTTTAGTGGAAAGGTGGGAGATAGTATTATTTTATAAAGTCTCTGATACCAGAGTCATACTGTATCAGCTGATTCTGTGCACCAAGTTGTAAAATGCATTTGTCTGTAATTATAACGGGGATTTAGAAGGTTGACTAATTTGAGAAGACAATTTTTTTTCCCGTATTCTTAGTTTTGAGCTGTAGAGTATCGTCTATGAAACTGAAAATTTCTTGATACCTTAGAAGCTGTCTAATTATGTAACAATTACAGATATTAAAAGACAAACTTTTCACTTTCATGAAGCCCATCATTTTATTAGTCAAACATTTTGCCACATCTTGTTGGGACTGTTGAGATTTATGAAACATGTTTAACTTTTAAGTTTAACAAAATGAAAGAGCATTATTGAACTATTATGAGAAACTTGATTTATTATGTGCAATTGTAATTTAGTTGGGAAACGCACATACAAAATACTGAAAAAGATAAAGGGACTGTCTTATGCCACCATTTTGTATACAGGGCTTTTATCTTCAGCGTGGTACAACAAATGAAGATAAATATAGTGCATTGTAAATATTTCATACTACTTGTAAGGGCAAGTTATGCTAAAAAGGAGTGACGAGCTTTGGGGATTTTAATGTGCTTTTTAGGTTCCTGGGTTTTTTTTGGTTCTCATTTTCTTCTGGTAGTGACAAACTGAAGGGACAAGTTAGCAGAAGGAAGAATTTACACGTGCTAGCTAAGTTCCATAGTCCTGTATTTTCTGATGCTGATACTTTTTGCACTATATTTTTAATTAGAACGATGAGGATTTCAGCAAATTAGGTCTTAAGAATTTACCAATATTTGGAATGTGTAATCTTATTATAAAAGAGCAGGACCTGGTCTGTGTTTTTTGTAACAAAAGGTGGGGTTTGGGGTCGGGTGTTTTGGCTGGTAAGGCCCGTTTGGGCAGTACTTGTCCATGGTACTGAACAGAATTTTGTCTCCGTTTTATGGCCAGTTCTCAAACGATTGCGATGTCAGTGTGGTATCTATTTGGCATTGATATGATCTGTTTGTTTCTTTCACAAAAAAAAAAAAAAAATGAGTTCCAGGTTTTGAGGTATTATTTTGAGTAAAATCTTCAAAATTATTGATGAGATTTGAACATCATTAAAAATCTCTTTGAATAGAGCCTAAGAACCTGTTTTCAAGTATGCAGCCATACAATATTTAGGTCCTGAGGGGAAGAAAAAGGGTAAAAAAGAAAAATACACTCATACTTGACTCCTTTTTCAAGGCAATTTGCAGAGAACTTTTCGAGCAGGTTGTACAGAGACCCAAGATTTCACCCTCAGAAGTTCAGATATGATAAGCTCAGATACGACAAATTTCTGGGAAATCTTTAATCAATGCATTAGCTAGATGATGTCCTTTTAATAACATCATCATAACAATATAAGGATTATCTATAAATGTTAAATATGTATCAATAATTTAAATAGAATTAACATAATAGAAGCTTTGAACTCTTTTTAGTTGATGGAATAATTACAGAAAAAGAGAGGGAAATTACAAGGAAAAGCAGCAAGGGTCAGTGAAAGCTGATTGTAATTAGTACTGCTACCTTTGCTCTGTGCGAAAGCTTCCCGTCTGTTTACTAATACTGAACTCCCGTTCATTTTTAATTTTAGTTTTAGCTGAATTAGAGCGATATAAATGGACTCTATATGAACAACTTTTCTCGTTTAGCAACAAAACTAGCTGAAGTCTTTGCATATTAAATGGCAGTGGCACACAGCAGGTTATGTGAAATGTTACAAAAATACATGAAAGCTAATACCGAATAAAAGCTTAACATAAAGTTGAGGTTTTGAGTCTTGGTGTCATTCTTATATTTTGCTAGATAGCAGAGGTATTGAGTAAGCGACCTTTGCAATTTGGGGAGTTTAAAAAACATAGATTAAATTTTCCTCTGCAGAGTGCCAGTGACTTCAAATATTACTATATTTTTGCCTCCAAGGATATCCCAGCTATTAACTGTTCTTGACTGCTCAACTCAACTAGTGCATATTTGTACATAGAGAAGTTACAAGAGGGAAATGAAAGAAAGGGAAGGGGGGGGGGGGGGGGGGGGAAAAAAAAGGCTGAGAGAGAGAGGAGAGAGAGAAAGATGACTCTAGAATAACAGCATGCACTCTGCCAGAAACTGAGCTATCTGATTTAAAATTTCACATTAGTGTTTTATCAGTATTAATTCTGGCAAAAGCAAAAGTAAAGTAGAGACAAGGGACAAGAAGGGACAAGAGAATAAAATTGAAAGAGGTCACAAAGGAGTTTGTGGAGATTCAAGATAACAATAAAACACATAGAAGTTAGGGGCATAAAGGTCGAGACACAGGGTAGTGTAAAACCTGCCAGACAAAAACTGTCAAATCTATTGAATTGGGACTGGCAGACTTACATGGGGGTTTGCGAACACCTGCACCCATAATGACACAGTTATGTCACTTTCTGCTGTCACCTTATAAGCTGGTGAGGTTTTGATGGTGTAAGGGTAATGTTTGTTCCCAAATCAGGCAGAGCTATAGTGTAGTTTATGTTTTATAAAGTTGTTATACTTTAAGTAAGAAATACAGTGCCCTTCTGTGACTAGTTCTAAAGCAATCTCACTGCTATATTAAAATTCTGTATTTATGGGCTTTACATTCGGTAGCTTTGTCGAGTGATACAGTACTTTTGTAGATGATTCCATGAGCACAATACCTTACGAAGGGAAACTTAAACACAAGACTATTCGTTTATTTGCTTTGATTGCATAAACTAGAGGTGTGTCTTCCAGAAAACATAAAGCAACTGTTAATTTTTATTATATATATATAATATATATATAGCCCATAATGTATGAGGAAACCAGTCTAAGATACATCACATTCCCTGAAGACTTTATAATCAAACAGGTGACTGGATGTGACAACAGAAAGCCTCCAACAGTGAACAGGGGAATAGGGCAATGGATTTCATTTTCCTGCATATTCTTTTCTCTCCCATATTCACTCCTTTTCCTTTCTTATTGCACCCCACAAGTATATTCCATCTATTTTTCTTCACTTTTCTTTCAAACTACCACTTTCCACAGTCTTCTTGTTTAGGGATTTGTCTGCTGGCTTGACACCTTTCCTCCCTTGTTCAAGACAAGTTTAACGTCTGTATAAAGACTCTTCTGGTGTTATTTTTTCTGCTCCTTTGTTCCAGATTCCTCATTCATCCTTCACCACTAGATCAAATCTTTCATTCATCATCATTGTCATTCATTTGACCTGAACTTTCCTCATAACATTTTTTTTCTGACCTTTATTTGATAGATTTTTTCCTTATGAACATCATAAAATTTCCACAGCATCGCTTTTTTTTTTTCCCAAATGCCACACACATTATCTTGTTTTCCTTTTCTGACCATTGTGAGTGCCTTTAGTTTCTGATGGTCTCTGTGTACTCGTTTGAAAACATCCATCTCTTCAGAACTTGTATTAAAAGTCGAGTTCAATAAAATCTGACAAGAGAGCACAGAATTAGAAATACTTGTTTTGTGAACAATTTCATTAAAAGTTTGGAAATACTCTTATGATGAATATTGTAAAGGTAGAGATTAGCGAAGTTGCAATATTATTTCTGTATCTCTTACCTACATATTGGCTCATTCATTCATTTTGTGTTTGATATTTTCAACCCTGTTTCAAATAGCATTTTTCTATTTTTGTGTTCTTGTATACAACCTAGTGCATTTTGTATTTTACAAAGATGTTTGATGTCTCAAGTCTATTTTCTCTTCACAGCAGAGATATTTAACCTGAATAGTTAGAATACTATGTAACAGAGGAGGAACCAAGTATAGTGTAATCACCTTCAAAGCACAGTACCGGATATTCAAAAAGGGCTCCAGGGAGAATTCGAAATACTGAAAAGTAAGGGTCATTTTGATGGCCGTAAAAAAAATTATTTGTTCTCTAATAAGAAGATTACTCAAACTCTATTGGGCTGTTGTTGGCTTGACAGAGAACAGGAGTCATTATATTCTTATTTAGTTGCACTGGGGATGGGTTTTCCTGTTCAAAAAAACCCTGAAGATCTTTTAGAGCAACAGGAGTTAGCTTACCTCACTGATTTTTCTGGAGCATGAATTTCCTTACTTT